GAGAAACAGACATAATAAAATGAATGGGATAAAGCATTACAGGTATAAGCCATAGATGGTACTAAAGGTGGAAAGGCTTTGTAATATTTGTCATAGAAAAAAGTGATGGAAGAAATGATTTCTGTAACTGCTTATGATATTAGAAGGGTGACAAAATCAAGAACCTGCATCATAAGTCTGCAGCTATCTTCATATTGTTAGCAATGGTTTAATTTCAACAAAGCATTATTAGTCACATTAAATTAGTGCTAATTTGGGTTTGTATTTCATTTGCTAATTGTTAATTTATTGGCTTTATAATTTAAGAGCTATAAAGAGTATATTCCTGATTGTATTTATACATACATTTCAATTTGTCAGTGACTGAGTAGGTTCATAAGACTTTTTTTTTTTCCTTTGAAAAGATGTCCTTACACTATTGTACTCAATTGTGAGAAACACTAGTAAGGGTGGATGCTAGGGAACTGTTGAAGAATTGAGACGGTGGATGGATGGAGGACAAGATTGTAGGTAGAGACATCTCTTCATTTAGGTTGATAATGAGAGTTTGAATGAAAGTGTGAAGTAGGATTTGAGAAGAAAAAGAGTACCAGATATGTTAACTAAATAGACTTTGTGGCTGATTAGATTTGTGAGATGAAGGAGAAAGGCCAGATATCTGATCAGTGACTGGGTAGATGATGCTGCTATTCAGAAAAATAAAGATTGTAGGAAGAAGAAACAAGTTTTTCTGGCTGCAGTAGGAGTTGGGGGTTGAGGGAAACAATAACATCTGTTTTGAACATCTTGTTCAAAAAAATTGTTAACCTTAATTGTTTTGAACAATTTAAGGTGCCTTTTAAACATTTAGGTTAATAAGTCCTCTAATTTAGGAGACAGGTCAGGAATAGGAATATAATGTAGGAGTCTTCAGCATTTAGAAAGTAATCAAAACCATGGAATTATAGTCATCCTTCAGTATCTGCAGGGAATTGGTTCCAGGACTCCTGGAGGATACCAAAGTCTGTGGATGCTCACGTCCCTGGTACAAAATGTTGTAGTATTTGCATATAACCTCCCCACATCTTCCCATATGCTTTCAATCATCTCTAGATTATTTATAATACTCAGTACGATGTGTAAATTGTTGTTATACTGCATTGTTGCATTTTTAAATTGTTGTAATGTTATTTTTTATTATTCCCCTCCACCCTGAATATTTTCGATCTGCGTTTGATTGAATCTGCAGACATGGAGCCCACTAATACAGAGGGCCAACTATGTGGGATTACCGAGGAATAGTTTATTGAGTGAGAAGTGAGGCCAAGGATATTCTAGGTGGTCTTGGAAGAGGAGTCAGCAAAGGGTACTGAGAAAAAGAAGAAATTGTTTCTTGAGAGAGATTAGTTTTAAGTGTATTTAAGACTTTGGCTTTCTTTTCCAACTCATAGATGCCCCCAGGATTGTATTAGACTATTTACCTTAACCTATATCATCTCTATTTAAGTGTGCAGAATTGGCCAATTTTTTTCTCCTTTTATTTATTTATTTATTTATTTTTTGCATGAGGGCCTATGCAGGAAAAAACAACTGTTTACAAAGGAGTCTTCAGCATTTAGAAAGTAATCAAAACCATGGAATTATAGTTATCCCTACAAATACACATGGTATCTGATCAGAATAGGGGATACTTTTAAAACAAGATGTTAAAGACTCTTCTTCACTCCTACAATCCTTGATAAGTTAGAAGGGAATCTGGCTCTGAAGATCTCTGTTCGTACAGGATACCCTTAAAGATGTAGGCTAGGCCTACGTATGAAGTAAGACTACAGTGGTTACAGGTACCCTGATATACAAGTAGGTCAATAAACATCGATAGTGAAACTTTCCAGCAATACAGGGTGCCTGTGAGAATAAGAAGTTATAGTTACGAAGTATTTTGACAATAGAAACTTGGATGTAAAAAATGAGGAGCTATGAGATAGGTCTAATTACATGAAAGGCAACAAACAGTCCTCTTGGTGATTCTTTGAGTTTAAGAGTGAAAATACTGATTATACATCTTTTAAAACACCACTTTAGAACTACGTAAAAAATACTCCTCATTCCTTCTCCTTATTGTGTGTATGTATAAAAATATTTGTTAGATGTGCGCACATTCAGGATTCAATTCTTATTCAAATCAAAACAATGTCTGGCAAATTTGAAATCCTTTACTGGTAGCTGGCATGCTACAAGACAGATTTTGGAAACTATTAAGAAGGTTTTGCCTTTGGACTCTAAGACAAGGAAAAAAAATTTTAAAAAAAAGTATGACTAGAATTCAGAAAGTCTGGACAAATTATATTAATATTTATGACAGTTCAATTTAATCAATCTCTGTTGACACTGAGCAAAATCACATATTAAATTTGGACATGCCGGGCGCAGTGGCTCACGCCTGTAATCCTAGCTCTCTGGGAGGCCGCGGCGGGTGAATTGTTTGAGCTCAGGAGTTCGAAACCAGCCTGAGCAAGAGCGAGACCC